CAAGAATGGATCACTTAGTTCGGAGACTTATTTTCGGCTAAAAGAAGATAACATTATGTGTGCGTGTGATTCAATTGTGAATAATTCTCTTCTATTAGATCTTTCTTGTTTATACTCAAAATCGTATAAGCTATTTATAGGAATTCTATAAGAATCTCATAAGAATAATTACCAGAATCATGACCGAATCGGATATACAAACTTGATAAGAGTCGTATACGTATCCGATTAATATTTATAAAAATAATTGATCTAGAGTAATAAAGTTAGTCAATACTATTCACGAACTATGAAGAACATATTTTAAAGCCAAGAAAAATTTATTTGAGCAATTTGTTTCAAACGACTATTACATGTTTTATAATAATTTTTTAAAATAGTTCGTGTTTCTTGTTTTATATCAGGATGTTTTCGTCCCTTTGATGAACCTAAACATCCATTTTTTGTTTGATACAATTGATTTCTTATACATGGAAATGAACGTTTATAATGATTAAAATAAAAATGTTTTTGTTGAATTTGTATTGTTAAATTTAAAAATTTTTGAACATATAATAATTCTTCCCATGGACGTTTTATTAAATTTTCACCATCAACAAAATGAATTTGATTAAATGAATAATATTTTAACCATTTTGTAAAATAATGATAATAACAGCCAATTTTTAATGGTATCCATTTATCGTTAATTATTGTTGAATTTTTAATAAATACATAATCTTCAAATGTTAAATTTGATTTTCGTTTTGTTGTTAATTGTACATAATCAGAAATGGCACGAATAATCGGGTCACGAATAATGACAATCAATTTTAATTTAATATTTGAAAATGTTTGTGTCATACGATAGGCACTACGATTATGAATATAATATTGAGGCGTTTTTTCCATAGTTATCTGATTCGATAATGATAGTGGCATTTGATTTCTTAAATAAAATAAAAAAAAAATGAATATATTTTCAAGTTACTTTTATTCTAACCTCTATTTAAGACTCGTAAAGAAACAATCAATTTTTATGCAATTATATGGTATACCAAATGGAGGCACTTATTAACAAAAAAAAGAAAACATTTATCTTCTAGATAAAATTCTTCATTCTTTTAAGTACATCGATTTATCATTTTTTTTTCTTCTTCTTTTTAACCAGATTCAAACTGTTTTAAAATCGCATTGATTCATAATATTATTTTCACTTAGATTTTTATCATATTGTAGTTGTTATTGTTGAATGATATGTGAAAAATAATATAAATCTCACATACTCTATAATTAACAGATGAGAATTAGAATTCTACCATCAAAGTGATAAAAATACATACATACACACACACACACAAATATGCATTATTTTCATCGGTATATGTGCGTGTATATTCCCAATAAATGCTGTTTGTCAACGTTCAGATAAAAAAACTAAAAATTATCCGTATATTACTTTTAATGGTAGTGATTCACTTCATGTGAATGTTAAATAGATATTTTGTATGAAATTTATGAAATTATACATATGTACTTTTAATTTTTTTTATCATTGATTAATTACAGAGAAGAAGAAAGTAAATGATGTTCAATCAACAACATGTCATTAATCTCATCTATATATAGTAGATAGTTTGACGTTTTTATAGATGATAAAATGAAGGTTATCGACAATAGCAGCTGTGATGATCAAAGATTTTTTCTTCTTTTTTTTTTGTAAGGAAAACACACAGCAGCAGCAGAGATTTAAATGTAAAATATTTAATTTTCATTTTGGTGATCAAACGAATCACGCACACTCTATGTATATATTTTTTTCTTAGTAGACTATTGCTCACGCACAATTTGAAGAAAAGGCATCTGTAACACAATTTATACACATGAAAAGGGAGAGTAAGAGACAATTGAACAACAGTTCATTGACTTTTCTGTTATTATACATACACTAAATTGTGTGTGAGAGTGAGAGATCAATATCAATAAATTCTTATAAGACATATGTATACACATTGCTTAAAATTCTATATAAACGATGGTCTTTTTTTTTATTCCTATTAACGAATGATCAACTTTTGTAGAATGAACACAGTTGAACTATTGTACAGTGGCTTCTATGACTCGTTTTTTTTTTTTCTTCACTATTCTACTAAAACATTTCGCTTGTTTCGGTCTAAAATTTAATCAATAGTGATGACATTAGTGCGTAACAGTTTTCATATAAAATGTCTTCATTTACATGTCGTTTAGTCTTCAAATTATGTCCACTTGATTCTTCCTAATTGGGTTATTTTAGTCAATTGAAAAAATTTTTTTTTTTATTCTGATCTAAGAGCAAAACTACGCAATAAAATGATCCCATTATTTGAATGAACAAACAACTAGTAGAAGAAAAAAAAAGATTTTTAAATAAAATAATAAATCAATCATCTATCGACATCTTAATCGGTTTTAGTGGTATAGTCGCCGTCTCATCATCTCTTATTTTATTTGAAAGTGTGGTAATGGTCAATATTCATGCTTCTAAATGATGGTGGTATATTATTGTTTGTCACATTTGTCATTTCATTCTCTTCATCATCGATCACTGTTTCCTTTTACATACAAAGTAATCATTTCTACTAGAAGATGAGTATAAAAAAAAGAAAAAAAAAAGTCTCTTTCCATAATGATTATCATGTACATAATTATTCATGCTTGAGAACATCAACTTTTAGACCACTTGAAAGAGCAAACCGACTTTCGTTTTTTTTTCTTCTTCTCATTCTTCTTTTGTTATCACAGTTATGTAGTTACATACGTATGAATGAATTCTTTGTTGCTCATACAACTACAAAATTTAATATAATACTTTTAAGTGCTAATGATGATAACACTAATGCAAAATACATAATTAGTAAATTTTGTACCAATATTCAATACAATATCAACGATGCAATAGCCACTCTCCTAGACAAAAAGATACTACTCATCGTATAAAATCGTTAATATTTTCAAGCTCAATAATCTTAGTTATTAGATGTGTCTTTTTCTTAGTACTGTATTCATAGTCTAGCTTCTTTCTAGTCTCACAAATTGATTGTAAATTGAGTTTCTTTTTTTAGTTTTTTTTAAAACTTATCCCTAACACGAAAATGACATTAGTATGTATATATATATATATCATACAGTCAAACTTTTAACAATTAACCAAATATCATATCGTCAATGTCATTTTAATCAAAATAGACATGTGCACATGTTAGCTTCATTGAATCCAATTTATTTAAATTTGTACGACTTCGTCTGTGCAATCAAATACAATAGTACGAGATGGACATAATACATCATAGAAATGTGTATAGTGAAGTTAGAAGAAGCGAGACAATAATATCATAAGTTAAATCAATTAACTGGCAGGCATTATAGTTTATATTTTGTTTAGAGAACGATCGATTGAAAAATATCAGAATATTAAAGTACAATTATACTTTAGTTCAAATCTTACTCATTTCATGACTCTAGTATTGTTTCATAATGTATGTAATCCTTTACCAATCAACAAATCATCTTAAATGCACTTAGAAAATGAAAATATTAAGTATTAAATTTCTCACAAATAATGATCTTGATATTTTACCCTCCTCCCCCCTTCACTCTCTTCTAATTTTGTATAATAAAATAAATCTTAAAGGGCATGCATTTATAAGAAATAGAGAATATGATCTATAGTAGATGAACTAAATATCCCAAGGGAATGGAAAGATGTGCACGATCTGCTGATGCAAAAAAAAAAGAACCACTCTCTAATTCACTTTCTTTTTCATCTTAAAAGATGCAAAAACTACCATATCTATCGTTTTTTTGATGATCAACTTTTTTTTTATTATTGTGAAACCAAAAAATTCAAGGCAATCTTTAATTGAAAATAGATCAGATACTATACCATTAATACTGTTCTATGAATTAAGTAGATATACTGAAAATAAGACAAGTAAAAGTCGTTATACAAGCACGTAAAAAGTACTAAGCATCGTCTAATAGATCTAGATCTGTCAATTGACTAGTCAATATATCTAGAATTTTTTGCTGAACAACTTTTGATTAGATAATAATAATACCATCACTGATAAACTGATTGAATTTCCTATCAAACCTGATGAATTTTCTATTCATAATGATTACGTCTAGATCAAACAAAATTTTCATGTAAAACAATATAAAGCGTATCCACACCACTAATAAAAAATGATGTATAAACGTTATCCATCAATCATTAACAGCTGCTATATTGACACATTGATTTAGTCCTGTTTACATATTGTGATCTACTTCATCTCATTTCATCTCTTCTCTGTTTCTTGTAACAACTCTATTGTGAGTGTGAAGCTATCATTTTTCTTTTCCTTTTTTTTTTTCTTTTACATATGATGTAATAATTCTCTACATATATCGTCATCAAGATTTGCATAATACGATAAACGATCAAACAATAATGATTGACCTGTTTTTACAAATAATAATAATAATAATAATATTATCGTCGTCACACTTACTGACATCAATAGTTAGAGTAATTCAGAGGCGAAACGAAATAAGGCAAGATTAAATTAATGCTGCACACACACTTATATTATGGTTATAAATGTTAAAATGATTAGATAATCGACAGAAATAAAAATGAAGAGAAAAATCATTGCCTTACAACAGAGAGACGAAAGTAATAAAAAAACAAATTGATGAAATACTATCGTATAATTAATAGTAGAGATATTTTTCTTATAAAAATATAAGGTGCCGAAATTCAAAAATTCAGCAATAATTTTTTTTTCGCGATATTTATACATGGTTAGATAGAACTCGTCGAGCTGATCAAAAATATGTGTTTTGTGTTTCATGTTTTTTTTCAAACTTTTTTAGTATATACAAATTGAAAAAACATCAGGGATTCGAAATTTCAAAAAGGACTTCAGTTTAGAGAACACTTTTTAGCAAAAAAAACGGATGTTTAAGGTCTTCAGTGATTTGAACTGCCGTGTAAACGCACAAAAATTAGTTTTTGATTTCTTATCTATCATTTATTCACATGCCTAACAGTTACAACAACAAAAAGCTCAACAAAATAAAGCAGATGAGTAGTATTTTCATCAGACAGGCGCTTCGATATAAGATTATGATGGTGTGAACGATTTTTTGAAAATTTAAACAGAACAAAAGGGTAAGACACAGTGACAAAATTAAAAAGCCATTAATCTGGAAAGAACTAAGGTGCAAATAAACGAAAAAACATACAAAATATAAGAAGACTTGTCAAAACTCGTTTTTCCTGCTAAAAAGTGTTCTAGAAATCTCGCCAAAATCATGTCTGTTAGATTCCTCATCGTTTTTTTACCTATTTCAATATATTTTGACGAAATTTGAGTCGGAAGTAATAAAGTTAATAGAAAATGATCATTCCGTTGTTTGAATGGCCCAATAAAAGTCATTTTGCTCAGCAATGAAATTTTGCTCTTGTCATTTTGCTCTTAAAAACCAGCGAGCCGTACTTTTAAAGCAGAGCTTCCGATGGTTCAAGTGGCATATAAATCAGGACTTCATTTCTTCACACAAAAAACTAGATAGCTTTTCAAAATTGTTTGGCGACGTTTCAGGAGCACCCATAACGGACAGTCCTTTGACTTTAGACTCGATATAATATCATTTTCATACTCAATTTTTGAAGCTGAAATCAGAAAAAATATTTTCAAAAAGTTAGACGAAAGAAAAAGAAGAAATTCTGAAGATTTTTTAAAGCTGAAGTATTTTCCAAAATTTCGGATTCCTGAAGTTTTTCAATTTTTTTTACACTAAAAAATTAAAAAAATAACATAAAACACATATATTCTTGATCAGCTTGACGAGCTCTATCCAACCATGTATAAATATCGCGAAAAATAATTTTTACTGAACTTTTGAATAAGCGGCACCTTATATTTTTCTACACGACCATGACTAACGATTTTTCCAGAAGTCTCCTCCAAAATGAATTTGAATTAAGACGATGGTAATCTTCTATTCTGGACAATGTGTTTATTAGATTTCAGTTAACCATCGCATCTGAATCAAAATCTCTTAGAAAACGGCATATATTGAAAAAGTATATGTGAAATATTCAGAGAATTACTGTTGATAACATGTTTACTCTTTTGATGAAAATATTACGCTTCCAATCCGTCAAATAGATCGAAATATTTCTAATAGAAATAATAAACATTACATGATTGTCATTTTCTTACCTGTACCAATCTAATCCACGATAATAATTTTGATCGAAAAAATGAACTTCATTCATTGATGCCACAACATCTGGATGTGCTGATATAAATTTTAGTAATGCTCGTGTACCACATTTTTTAACACCAATTATAATTGCTTTTGGTAAACGACGTTGATTTATTTCACCGGTATTATTTTTAAATATCGAATTATTATTATAATCATATTGAAGAGTTTTATTATCATTTTTAAATAAATAATTATCTCCATATGATATGCACATGATTAAAATTAGAAACAGTCTTCTATGATTCATTACATGACAAATTTTAATTCATTGATACTACAACGACGACTCGATTATACAAATATTATTGTTAAAGTGATTGAACATTATCATTGCTCATTAGAATAATAACTTAAGTTAACTTTGGTTCGTACAAGAAAAAGTTAATTGATCAAAAGAATAAGAAGAATCGTTCAACTCAGGTTTTCTGTTTTTTTTGATGAATGGACAAGATGATTACATGCGAATATTTTTCCGTTCTATTTCGAAGAAGAAGAAGAAGAAAAGAAAAAAAATAGCCGGAAATAGTATACAACTATCGTTAAGAGAAGAAGAGAAAAAAATATGAGAGAGAAAAAGAGAGGAAAAGAGAGAGAGAGAGAGAGAGAGAGAGAGAGAGGGAGTGTGTATGATAACGAAGAGACAATCGAAAAGATAGGTATGTTTTGTACACATATACACTCAGAGAGATATGTTACATGAAGAGAAAAAGTGCTCATCACACTATCGCATATCCTGAAGGCCATATTTACACAGAAAAATAATGATTGTTCGAAGAATATAAAGTCACATAAAAGTAGTGTATGTTTCATTCGGTTTTATTTCTTTTTGGGTTTTTATTTATTGAACGTGTCATTTGTATGTGAACAATAAAATGCCGTGAAATTGTAACTTTCCTATTTTCGTCTATATCATACTATCCTTTTACTCTTATTGAAAATGAAGAAATCTTAGAAAGAGAATAATGTTGATTAACTTTCGATAAACTTTCAATTATAAACATAGATGAGTCGAGAATACTTTCAAGGTATTTTATGTGCAGTCTGCTAATAAAATTCATTGTCATCAAAATTCGTGCTACTCTTTAATGAGAATAGTCACAACGTTATTGATAAAATTTAACCTTGATGTTTGTTTGCATAAAACTTAGAAAAATAAATTTATTAATTATACTATCTAATATACTTATATCAATATCTAAAATGAAAACTAATGTATTTCTTACATTAATTTGATCTATTTCACTAGACATATATTGAAGAATACGTTCATCTTTTCCAGTATTTCTCTCTCAAATCGATGGATATGAACAATTTGTTTTTTGTTTAAAATATTAAAAGACAACAATATTAGTGCATCTTATTATAATAAATAAATAAATAAATAAATAACTGTATATATATATATATATATATATATATATATATATATATATATACACAGTATAGACGTCACTATAAGAAAACTACCGAGAAGAGTGACTCATAATAGATTACGTGTGAATTTCACTTTGATTATGAAACTAATTATTAAAAGAGTGAATGAGAGTATAGTCTGGTGAAAAATAAGATAAACAGAGCCTTGGTATAATATCGTAGTTATTAGTTATTATGTCTATTGTTAGATAATCGTTCAAACAAGAGACTAAATGGGCTAAAAGCATGTTTATCAATAGATCGAGGGTACATAAAGATGTGTGCAATTAGTTTCAGTTATAACAGAACTAATTTATATCATTGATTGTTTATTTATCTTCCAATACATAGACAATACAAAAAAAAAAGACAATTAAATATTTTTTAAACGTTCAAAGTCTATATGACCTTCTTTATACAATATTTCATAATTTTATCATTCATACTGGAATCGAATGTTTTCTCAACTTATTGGAGAAATGGAATAGAAAAATTTTGCACTATTCTTCAAACTAAATTTGTTACAATCATTGTAAAAATTTGTGTTCGATTTTTCTGTTCAATTTAACAAACAATTCGAATATAATTACCTATAAACAGTAAAAATTATAGGGAAGAACAATGAGCATAAATACAGTGTAATAGAAGAATCTCTATCACAGACAGCTATTAATAATTATATTAAAACATTAGCATATTTCGACGAACATGCAATACATGTAAATTTAAGACTATTTTAATGACGAATAATTATGTTAGAAATTTTTTAGTCATATTTACTCATGAAAACTATAAGTCTTTACTTTTTATAATAAGCGTACGATTTTTAATGATTAGCATATACTTTTTTTTGAATTATTTTACTTTCAAGAATAAACTTGAAGAAAAGTCATTGATTCATCTACGTAGATTCAATTACATGAAAAATAGACAATTGAACATAACAATAATTAGCAATAGTTTTTGTGGTACCAGATTAGGGCAAAACTCATGAAAAATTTAAAGTAATCCCATGCAAACAGAATTGTGTCTTGATTAACTGTCGATTTTTCTAAAAAATCGAAATTTATCTATTTTTTCAGAAATACAATAAATCAACTGATTAATTTCGCTTAATTGGCCATTTCTTTTCAATTTTGATGACATGACTTGCTATTGTAGTTCGTCTTGTTATCTGTAAATGAAATCAAGAAAAAAAGTTTCAATAAATTTTATTTTGATTCTTGTCATCTTGTGATGTGTCTTGCGTGTTTGTTCTGAGACTAAGAAAGAAGAAAAGGATCGTTCCTATACACATTACAACAGGATTTTGTATTATAACAGCACGATTGTTGATTGACTTATACAGATTGTTTATTCATTGAACTTTGTGATTTGAAGTGGCAAATCAGAAATGGATGAAATATGTAATTAACTCAATGGTATGTTTTATCCACTTGGATAATAACGGCGATATGACATACACCTGTTGAAAATAAGGTAATACAAAAGCATTGACAATTGATATCGTAACCTTTTGTGATAATATTTCTGGAAAAAATATTTAAATTTTCTTACAAATCATTTTCATTTCGCCGCATATTTATCTAGTTGATTTTACTCATTTATCTTATGACGAATATGGTAACGCTTACATCATCCATTTATAAATCACTGTGACTTACTTACTGTTGATAGACACATTGACGTTATGACATAATAGAATAGAAATCACACCGGTTGTTCGAATATTGAATGTTGACGATTTTATATCGTTTATCTCAATGTAATATTTGCTGTTGCTCAAATATAATCTACTTGGATTCATTGTAAAATTTCTTTTCAACAAGTTTATAAATAAGTCCTTCGTATCAGATGTTATCAAAAACTTTTATAAAGTTGACAATGGAGTTGAATGTTGTTGAATAATCTTTTGTAAACTAAACAAATCTTTATAGGTTTGAGTGATCAAGTCGAAAATCTGACTGTTGTTTAGGCATTAGGTTTTTATTCAGCATTTACGTCCAACAACAAAGTACAGAGATTGTTGTGTATGTTTTGAATCTGTCTAGTATTAAAATCATTTTAAAGTTTTGCTCTCGATAAATATTTAAAATCAATAATTTATTGAACGCAATTAATAAGAACACAAAATGAGATGTTAGAATATTTCTTAATACTGAAACTTTATCTGGTTCGGCAGAATGTTTACATTTAAACCTGAACTGATATCAACTAGATCGTTAATTTTAAACAAAAACGGCATCGATAGTCACTGTTGACAGCTCATCATATTCATCACTGTCATCGCATTCAAATTTGATCTTTGTTTGACTATTAATCCAGTTGAACCATACCATTTTATTGCAGGATTATTGTTTAATGCTTAGATATGAATGTTGAGCGATAACATTTTAGTACGCCGATTCTGTATTCTCCTAACAACTTGCTTAACATATTTTATTTTGATAGTTTTTATCATATTGGTGGTGTTGTTTGAATTGAAAACATATTGCCACATTTTAATATGTTAATGATGAATGATCGAGACTTTGAAATATCATTTAAGAAGAATTGATGGTGTACTGAAGCACAGTTCTATAATATATTAAACCAAGATAAATTTTGCTATTGTCTGATGTGTTCTTTACCTCCTGGTTCAAAGCTCAAACACGTTCCGGTATACCGGAACGTGTTTGAAGCTGTGGCTACAAACTATTGTTTGTTGTATGATACGAAATTCGAATTACATCCTGAAATTAATGGATATTTTTTGCTGACCGTGGTTGAATATTTGTAACATCCTAATCTTTTGATGCTTCTTTGGTAACTATTTAGCGGCATATTGGAAATTTTATTTGGAAGTTCATTCGGGAATTTCAGTCTACATAGTTGTTGTGGTCATTTTTGTGTCTAACATAATTCTTCATATATAGATGAATTGTTTGTAATTATCATCTGAAGAATCTGACCAGTAGACTTGAGCAAAAAATAGCCACTTTTTACTTAAGGTGTCTACGAACAATCATTGGAATTAACCTTGGTGACCGAATGTCAAACGCTGTGCTGCTAAAGATTACAGGACAACCAACGATCGAAAACATTCTACGAAGGAATCGGTTAAGGTGGTTTGGTCATGCAAATCGAATGATGAACACTGATAATG